GAACCCGCTTCCCCGTTTGCAGAGAGGGACTCATAGAACACGCTTGGGCTAGTGGTGGCTGCACGCCCTAGAATGGCATGCAGCTCCGCGTAGTAGCGGCATGTTTGCGGCTCTGCCCCGGACCTTCCGTTTGCGTCTCTGACTTTGTGGTAGGCTTGCCTTAGCTCCTTAATTTTCACGCGGCACTGCCGCGCGTCCCTGTTATGGCCTCTGTCCTTCATGGCCTTGGAGATCTTTTCTAATGTTTTGCCGTTTCTTTTACTGTTTCGGAGTTCGGCGAGCACTGCTTCATCTCCCCAGATGGCGATCAGATCCTGTACCTCCCGTTCGGTCCAGGCTGGAGCTCTTCTGCGATCCTGGGACTGGGACTGGGACTCCATCACGGTTACCTGTGCTGATGGGCTCTGCATGGTCACCTGTGCTCTCCACGCTGAGCAAACAGGAAATGAAATTCAAACGTTCGCGGGGCTTTTCCTGTCTACCTGGCCAGTGCATCTGAGATGAGAGTGCTGTCCAGAGCGGTCACAATGAAGCACTGTGGGATAGCTCCCGGAGGCCAGTAATGTCGAATTCCGTCCACACTAACCCAATTCCGACCCCCTAAGGTCGATTTTATCGCTAATCCCCTTGTCGAGGTGGTGTTAGGAAACCGGTTTAAAGGGCCCTTTAAGTCGACAGAAAGGGCTTCGTAGTGTAAACGTGTCCAGGCTTAAGTCGATTTAACGCGGCTAAAGTCGACCTAAACTCGTAGTGTAGACCAGGCCTCAGTCTCAAAGGTGCCACAGGACCCTCTGTTGCTTTATTCATTAGCTAGTGTCTGGAGTAATATAACGTTGGTGCAAGAGGCTGTGTGTAGTTTTCTGCAACCTAGAGTTAATAGAAATGTTTGCAATTTGGCAGAGATCCATTACCAATGGTCTGACTTAAGCTGTATTCCCAAATCAGTACACATCAGTTCCTAAGAGCGCCTGGTGTACATATTGGTGTCATCCGTAGGATTTGTTCTGTCTCTCAGGCTGTTCCTGCCCAGTGAACCCCTGGTTTTCAGTGATTTCTTAACAAGTGCAATACACAGGGGTTACCATAGTGGAAAAGACCATTGGCCCATCTGACACCCTGATTCTGATCAAGCAGTATTGGACGCATCTAGTCACCTATACAATGATGATAGGGATGGGAATTTCTTCCTGACCCCAGTTCATGAGCAGACTCTACACTGAAGCATGAGGATTGATAGCTTTTGTAATTTTTATCCAACTAATTTAATACAAATGTTGTTCTTACAAAGTGTCTAATCTTTTATGAACATAAAATATTGTGCAGCAGTGAACCCAACAAGGTAATTAAAATAGGTGTGAAAAATTGTCTTTTTTAAATGTGCTCCTTTTGAATTGATTGAGTGCCCTTGGTTGTTTTAAAGGACACCACAAAGCTCCTTAATTTTTCATCTTTCCACTTATTTGTACATTTGTCCTGCTTAATAGTAGAATAAACAAAATGAGTGGTAAATGCATTGTGGACTGCACGGCTGTTAGCTAGAAAATATGGAAGGAAGGATGGTGTGATCTTGACTGTCTAGCAGTTGGACTCTTGAGATGATAATGAATAATACTCGACACTTCTATAGTGCCTTTCGTTCCAAGACCACAAAGCATTTAAACATGAATGAATGAAGATTTACAACACCCTATCCTAAGGTGTAACGGGGAGTCAGTGACTGAGTTGGGAATAGAACCTCTAATTCCATAGTCCCTGTCCCAGGCTCTCACCTGTAGGCAATACTTCCTTATTGCTGACAAGTAAAAAGGACTCTCCTGTAGTTTGAGGAAGAACTGTGCCTGTAATGGCCACACATGATCAGGACCTTGGTGTTTTCAGTGTCTCACTACATAGACAGGCCACCTCTCCCAGCGCAGCACCCTGGGGAATTGGCTCAGAACAGGCTCAAAGGGAAGAGTGCCACCTGCTGAATCACGGCTTTCTGTGAATTAAACAAGCATTTTCTTTCGTTTAGAACTGCTTGTCTCCGCTCTAAACTGCACACATTTGTTTTTCTCTATTGCAGAGTTTGATAACAGCTCTAGGCCAGACTGTGAAGACTGTGATCTACGTCCTTGTCTTGCTGTTCCTGTTAATGTTTATCTTTGCCATTTTGGGTTACGGCTTGTACGGAGACCCTGAAACCGGAGACAGTAAAAACTGGGGCAACCTAGCATCTGCCTTTTTCACGCTCTTCTGTTTAGTAACGGTAATTTCTGCTGTCCTTTCCATTTGATGTCTGCCTGTTATAGAAACTATTGTAAGTAACCACTACCTCTGATTTTGGTCGGGATGTTGGGGAAGTCATTTAATTAAACTGTGATTGTTCTCAGCATTAAAGGTGGTGGGAGCTGTTCCCTGGGTTTTATTTAATGTCAGATGGTTGTGAAAATTCAGCTTGATGGATAGATTCATTTTTTTGGTATTAAAGACTCAGAGGCGAAAGCTTGCTGAGCTGACAGCAATGGGATATTTAGTAGCTTTCATATGGCATCTGAGTCTGGAACTCTAAGCAACTGGGGGAAAACAGAGTTCAGTTTAAAAAAGAGAGAACGAGAGAGAGAGAGAGATTTAATCTGGTCTGTGAGTCAAGCTGTGGTTTGGAACTAACTGATCAGAGATTCAATGCATTTGCAGGTTGACGGCTGGACGGACTTTCAGGATGAATTAGACCAATATGGTTTCAGTGCTAGCCGAGCCTTCACAATAGTGTTCATCTTGCTGGGGTTCTTTTTGTTTTTCAATATGTCTATTGGAGTTGTGATTATGAATATCCAGGTAAGTTGGGTTTCCCTTATTTTTTGTGTGTGTCTAACTACGGGGCCATTTGTCTGAAAACTGGTGTGTGCACCTTTTGAAAGCTGGCTTTTTGACACTGCTGGAGACCGAAGTCCTCTGTCCACTGCACAGGAACAAAATACCTTCCCCACATAGCCCTGCTGGTTTGCCTCAGACCCGAAGGGAGCATCTTCAGGGGAGAATGGTAGTGAATTCACTGTTCCCATTTAGGGTCAGTCTTCGGCATAAGTACAACAGGCACCTGAACAGTGCCCTGGCCCTTGTCTGTGTCATGCAGAGACAAACAGAGCTAGCCAGAAACTCTCCATCTTCTCCTGTCCTTCCAGTCCTATCCGCTGCCAACACCTCCCATATATGAGCATAAGGGAAATTTGCCTGAAGCTCCACACACTGCAACAAGGCCCATCAGAACGAAGGGGAAATTTGTGTCTATTTAAATCCATGGCCTTCTGCAGGGTTTCTTGCAGCTTTCCCTGAAGCATCTGGTACAGGCCACTGCTGGAAACAGGATACTGACCTAAACAGACCGCTGCTCCAATTTGTTATGACCATTCCTATGTTCCTGGGTCATCCCGGGTGAAACTGTTAGCAAGGGTGCCAACTGTCAGGTGGAAATCTGCTGGACTGACCCTACCAAACTCAGCAGGTGGTAACAGCTTTGTTGCTACCAGGTTGGGCTTGATTTAGATCAGTGACTTAAAGGCGAAAGTGTCTCTGATTAATTGCCTGAGTCATCCGGTTAAGAGCATTTAACATACACTGTTTTGATATTTATAGGATTCCACTCAGAATTATGAACGAGAGCTTAAAGCAGAAAAACAAGCTGCTCTTCGGGCAAAAAAACAGGCCATATTACAAAGACAACAGGAAGAAGTAAACATGCTAATGCACCAGCAGGTAGATGCACTGAATTGTATTTACTTGAAGTTTATTGAACAGCATAAGTATTACAAACATATGTAAGATACAGTTTAGTGATGCAAGACAGCATAGAGTTATCTTCAATATAGGACTTTATAGTCATTTCTCTCACAGAAGCAATTTTCTAAGCTTTTTCACCTTTAGAAATAAGCCAAGCCATAGACCTTCATCTGTATCCTTTTATAAGTTCACGTGTCCGTTTGCCTGTATATATATGTGTGTATATACAGATTTCATTTTGAATCTTCTATGTAAGAAAAAAATGTCAGAGTGGAAAACTCCCCATAATATTTAAAATAATAATTTCCTAAACGGATTCCCATTGCTGTTTTTTTCTGAAATATTTCTGCATTGTTCCAATGTTATTAAATGTAGGTCAGTTTGTATTATAATGGTATTTCAGTGCTGTGCATATATTCCTCAGTAACGATATATTTATTTTGATTTGTTATGTTCTATAGGCAGTATTTAGAAACCCACTAAAATCAGGTCACAGGCACCTTTCAAAGACGACATAGGTTATGTCTACACCAGTGGTTCCCAAACTTGTTCCGCCGCTTGTGCAGGGAAAGCCCCTGGCAGGCTGGGCCGGTTTGTTTACCTGCCGCATCCGCAGGTTCAGCCGATCACGGCTCCCAGTGGCCGCGGTTCGCTGCTCCAGGCCAATGGGAGCTGCTGGAAGCAGCGGCCAGTACATCCCTCGGCCCGCGCCGCTTCCAGCAGCTCCCATT